TGGTTCTACAATTAATCCAGATGACGGCAAGCAGTACAGATGTTGTTTGCAAGACGATTCACCTTACTTTCAGTTATACAGTAAATTACTCTCAGAAATAACTAACTGGAAATTATTTGATTTAAATACTGAAAAAGATGTCACAAATCAATATCATTTTATAAAAGGTTGGACGATAACAATCCGCTCGGTGATGTATTTGTGGCATCAATTAAAAACTCTCGGTTTTAAATATTTAAATATGAGGAATCTAAATCAAGATCCGGTAGAAAATCTGTTTTGCCAAATTCGTCAACATGGAATTGCAAATTCTAATCCCACCTGTCATCAATTTGTAGCAGCCTTAAAAACTGTAATATTAAATAATCTTGTTGCACCGGTCTCCAAATCTGCCAATTGTGAAAACGATAACTGTGAAAATTTGAACAATTTTCGAAAGTTTTTAGATAATTGTAATGACTTTAACGAAAACGAAACTGAATTATTAGAGAATAACGACTATAATACTCTTCAATGGACTGATTTCGAAGAATTGAACACGGATGCGTCTCAAGCTCTTTCTTACGTGACGGGTTATCTTGTAAAAAAACTAAAACTTCCCGATGCAAATTGTTCAAAATGTCAAACTGATTTGTTTTGTACACAACAAGAACAGCATCATGTATATACAGTTTTTAAGGAATATTCCGAAAAAGATTCATTAACGTATCCAAGCGATAAAATGATTACATTAATACAAAATGTACACAATAGATTATTTCACTTTTGTGATGAAAACGGATATAAATCAAACTTAGAATTGATTTTTAAACATATATTTTTTAACTACAACAGCGAATTTTGTAGTACTCATCGGTGTGACAATATAATTGTAAAAAATAGTTTGCAATTTTTAATACATAAGTATGTTAAAGACAAGAATAAGATGAAATCGGTGCAATTAACTTCGGGCCATTACAAAAAAACTAAGCAATTTAAATCGTTATGATGTATGTTTTATTCTTTGTTTAGTATTTTATTTACTTGCATTTTTAGTTTCTTTTTAATATGTTTGGTTTACAAAGACTTAGTTCAATATCAATTTTCTTTTTCAAAGTTTTATTATATGTGTTATTATTTATGTAGTGTAATATAATTTATTTAAATGATAAAGAATACAGGATCGGAATTACGAAGTTCTCGCTCGTTCCTTTGCAAAAGCACGCGTCGAAATGTATCGCTTCATCGCTCGAGGACGACTGACTTGTCCTGACAAAACCGTTGAAATTCGGAACCGAATCACACAAAGCAAACATGACTACGCGTGAAATACATAAATATAAATATTATCGCTGTAACGCTACCTCTAAGCATTCGGAACTGTCGAGCTGTGTCTTATATTCGCGTATCGTTATATTCAACGTTATTTATTCCACACTCGGCCATTCCTGACTGAGTGGTCGTCTCGACCGCTCACTCTCTTCCTCCTCGTCTTCACTCTCTGACGTATTAGAAAGATCGTCGTCAATCCATGGTTTCATATAATCTGCGGCTGATGACGTTTGGAGGGGTCCCTCGTGCTCCCCAATTTTGCGCACGACGTAGCGATGGTTGCGCAGAGCCTTAATGACCTCGTATGGTCCCAGATATTTGTGCGCAAATTTCAATCCAGGGCCTTGCTGCGTGCGTCTGATTGCCACAAGATCCCTCTCGCAATAGAGAGATGCCTCCTTTCTCTTTTTGTCATAGCTCGATTTATTTTCTCTCTGTACTTTCTCAATATTTCTTTTGGCCAGCTCTCGTAGCTCTTCTCGGTCATCATTAAATGAATCGATAAATTCGTTCTCAAGGAGCTGCTTAATATCGGGATTGTCACGAATGCGTGGATGCACGCCTAGCAACACGCGGAAAGGCTCCATTCCAATGCTTCTGTGTAATGTCGCATTTAAGCACAGCTGTGCGGCATCCAAATATTTATACCACTCGTGTGGTTTAGGAGCCGATAATTTTGTCAGCAACGGTATGAGAGTGCGATTCACTCGCTCGATCTGGCCGTTGGCCCTCGGTACTCCCGTGGTGATCAGCCGATGCTCGATGCTCTCCAACCGGCAATATTTCTCGAATTCTCCCGTAAATGCAGAGCCTCTGTCCGACACGATTCTTCTCGGATTGCCAAATATAAACGACTGCCTTCTCAGACGTTCAATCGCATCCGTCGCGCCCGTTGACCTAGTCGCATACAGCCAAACGAATTTCGAGAATCCATCCACCACAACGAAGATATGTACGTAATTTTTCTTGGTTGACGGTAGTGGGCCTAGATAATCGACGTGGAATGTGTCCAGCGGCACACTGCCCTTCTCAATTGGGTTCAAGAAGCCCTCAGATTTTCCATGCTTCCGCTCCGCCAGGATGCAGGCAACGCAGTTCCGCACAACTCTCTCGACCTCAGTGCGTAGGCTTGGAATCCAGTAATCTCTTTTTAGCAGAGCTTCCGTCTTGATCACCCCGAAATGGCCTTGTTCATGAGCCCGTCTAATTATTTGCTGCCGCATGACCTTTGGAACCACCACGCGAACATCGCCATCAGTGTCCCGGTATAGGATTCCACCTCGGATTACGTAGCTGCTCGACTCTCCCCGCTCAATCGTATCGAAAATTTTTTTCAGATTGTTGTCTTCTCCTTGTGCCTTCCTTAGTCGTGCTAATAATCCCTCGTCGCATTCGCTCACCACCAGACAGTTCGGCAATGGGCTTCTACTTAAAGCATCGACATGAGTCATGCTTTTGCCCGGTCTATGCTCAATGATGTACCGGAATTTTTCTAACAACAGTGCCCACCTAGCTACTCGTACGCAAAGATCCCTCTTCGACATTGTCAACGCAAACGCTCGACAGTCCGTTACAATTTTAAATTCTATGCCTAATAAATACACGCGAAATCTCTTAAGCGCTTTAATTATTGCGAGAATTTCCAGCTCGTAGCTTGTGTATTTTTCTTCGGCTGACGTCGTTTTTCCGCTCGCGTAATACACAGGATGTAACAAACGGTCCTCGCTATTTCTTTGTAAAAGAATTGCTCCGTATCCGTGCATAGACGCGTCCGTGTGCAACTCGGTTTCTGCACCCACTCGATACAGGCTTAATACTGGCCGCTCGCACAATATACTTTTTAATCGCTCGAATGCGCTTCTTTCAACTGCGCTAAATTGGAATTTTACATTAGCCTTCAATAAGTTCGATAGCGGTTGTGCAATTATACTATATCCCTTAATAAACTTGCGAAAATAACCGCTTAGACCTAAAAATTTCTGTATTTGTCGTGCGTTTCAAGGCTCAGGAAAGTGCGCTACTGCGCCGGTCTTTCGTTCGGATGGTCGTATTGTTCCATGCTCAATTACGTATCCGAGAAACTCTACTTTTCGTTGCAGAAACTGACATTTTCTCCAACTTATCGTTAATCCGGCTTGACCGGCCGTTTTCAAAACCGTTTCAAGATTTTTCAATCCGTCATCCTCGTCTTTAGAAAGTACAATTAAATCGTCCATATAAATCAATAAAATTCTTTGTCTAACTAAATCTCTAAAAATCGTGTTAACGAATCTCTGAAAAACTGATGGGGAATTACACAGACCGAAAGGAACCCGGAGGAACTCGTACTGACCATCCGGAACAATAAAAGACGTGTATTTTATGCTCGCTTGTTCCATACGTACATGAAAAAAACCGTTCTTTAAATCGAGGGTACTAAAAACCTTCGCGTCCTGAAGTCTGTCCAACTGATCTTCGATCAGAGGAAGTGGGTATCGATCTTTGACTATCTTTGTATTGAGCATTCGGTAATCTACACAAAGCCTATGTGAACCATCTTTCTTTTTTACTAAAACAATGGGGCTTGCAAAATCGGAAGTAGAAGGTCGGACTATACCCTGCTTTTCCCACTCATCAATTTGAGCGTTAACTATATCTCTTTCGAACTGCGATAACCGTCTCGCTTTTTGATATATTGGTTCGTCGTCTTTTAAAATAATCGTCATTTTTACGTCAACTTCCTGTATTCTGTTTGGTCGGTAATCTTCGACCAGATTCGCTATAATATGTCTATGTTCAACGCTTTTTACGTTCGATACGTCTACCTCGCTCGCGTCTCGCACATCAATCGCGAATATCTCCGGCCGCGCCTCGTCGTCGACAGCTTGATCGCAAATCGGAGTAATGGAAATTAGGCCTCGTCTTACATTAATTTCTACTGTATCCAAAAAATCCGCGCCGATAAGTAGTCCATACTGTAAAACGGTATCCGGGACGACCCGAATAAGTATCGAATAAGAAAAATTGTCGATCATAATTTCTGTTTGGAATTCACCAAAAGCCGACGCGCGATAGCCGCCTACTTCGCAAAATTCCATCTCCGATGCGCGCAGTTTCGGTGACCCCACCCTAGCGTGTTCGCTGGCTCGCATTATTGATATGTCGCTTCCCGTATCTATTAACGCGGTGATAATTCGATTGCTTATTAGCACGTCCTTTGTATATTTCTTACGCTCTATTTGTGAAACCGCTGCGATGACAGTTTTCTTCAGTTCACCATTTCTTTTAGGGCACTTTAATGCGATGTGCCCATGTTTACGGCATTCAAAACATTTAGGGCCGAGATTTTTCGTCGGGCAATTCGCACTGACATGCTCTCGGGCACCACAGTTGAAACAGCGCACGTGCTCCGCCGGATTTAGGCAAAGGAATGCTGAATCGATCAGCTGTTTGTTCTCGAGTGTAATGGTTAGAAGCGTGTAGGCTAAAGCGTTGCGAAGACCGTGATAATTTTGATCTTCGGGAAAGTATGGCGTATAGTGATAGTGTGTGTCGTGATTGTGATGAGAATAGTGGAGTGATGAGAGGGGTGTAGGGATAAGAAGAGAGGAGCGATGAGTAGAGTGAGGTGATGATTGATGTGCAAGTGAATGTGAAGATGGATCAACAAAGAGTTTCAAGACAAAAATTATGCGACGTGTGCTTTTTAATTACGGTGAGGCTTGGGAGCCGTCGGTCAGAAATACTAGTTTATTCACGGGTCGCGTTAAATTGGTGCCCGCGGTGCGGACGTCGACTACGCGAACGTTATCGTCGGAACCTGGGTGCAGTCGCGTTATGCGAGCAAGCGGCCACCGTGTTGGTGGAGTGATCTCGTTCCGTACTAGGCAGAGTCGACCGACGCGAGCCTCCTGATTAATTCGGGACCATTTTGGTCGATGGGCCAGCGTTTTTAAATATTCGTTGACCCACCGAGACCAGAAATGGTCCTTCATTTGTTGCAGGAGCTGCCACCGTGAGAGACGTGCCGACGGCTCTCGTTCGAGCGACGGCTCGGGGATCGTCGCGAGAGCGGAGCCGACCAGGAAGTGACCGGGTGTCAGAGCTGCTAAATCCTCCGGATCGTCAGATAATGGCTGCAGCGGTCGGGAATTGAGGCAGGCCTCAATCTGGGCGAGTAGGGTCGCCATCTCTTCATAGATGAGGGTTGCTTCACCTATGACTCGCCGAAGATGATGCTTCATGGCCTTCACGACGGCTTCCCACAAGCCGCCGAAGTTAGGTGCCGCCGGCGGGTTAAAACGCCACCGGATTTTTTCCTGGGCGGCGCAGGATGCTATGCGGCGTCCGTCGGCACTGGCGGTGGAGAACAGTTGCTTTAGCTGCTTGTCGGCACCCACGAAGGTGGTGCCGCAGTCGCTATACAGCGAGTGGCATACTCCTCTCCTGGCGATGAACCGGCGCAAGGCGGCAAGGAAGGCGTCGGCGGTGTAGTCCGAGGCTGCGTCGAGGTGGACTGCCCTGGAGGCTAAACAAACAAACACAACGATAAACCCTTTGGTCGTCTTGTGTCCACGGCCCCTTGTTGTTCGCATCCAAACCGGTCCGGCGTAGTCTACGCCGGTATGAAGGAACGGCCGGCCTGGCGTGACCCTTGGTGCGGGAAGATTTCCCATCAGCGGCTGAGGAGTGGCGGCCCGCCACCTTGTGCACCTTACGCAGCGGCTGATGCGGCTCTTCACCAGCGAGCGACCTCGAGGAACCCAATACTCCTGGCGAAGAGAACACAAAGACAGCTGGGTACCGCCGTGCAGCGTCCGCTTGTGGTGGTCGTCGACGATGAGGCAAGTGTAGTTTGATTTGCTTGGTAGTATTGGTGGATGCGTGGCATCGAATGGCAGCTGAGCATGTTTCAGGCGCCCGCCGACGCGTAGGAGCCCCTCGCTGTCCAGAAATGGACTGAGCTTTAGCAGGGAGCTTCGCGACGGCAGGGGTTGCTCCCTTTGTAGATGCCTAATTTCATCTTTGTATGCGGCAGCCTGGACTGTCTTCAACCAAGAGATCCGGGCTTCCTCGATCTCGTCGGCGCTGATCAAGCCGAGCTGGCCGTGCTCGTGGGGCTGACGGTGGATCCGCAACCAGCGACGGCACCACGCAGTGATCCGGAGCAATCGTTGTAGCGAGGAGTATCGGAACAGCATCTCAGGTTCGGTCCTCAGTTCGGCGATGGCGGCGACGTGAGTGCGGACTCGCCTCTCTGGGAGGTCATCCTCTGGAAGCTCCTCGCTGTTGGTCGTCCAAGGGTGGCTCCCGGCTGACAGCCACGACGGACCTTGCCACCAGAGTGAGTTGTCCTCCAGCTCGCTGGGGTAGAGTTCTCTGGAAGTGCAGTCCGCGGGATTATCTCGGTCGGGGACGTGATGCCAGTGGGCGTCCGGAGTCAGCGTCTGGATCTCGCTCACTCGGTTAGCCGTAGGTGATCCAGGACGAGGGGTGACCCCGAATCCAACCGAGAGTCACAGTGGAATCCGACCACAGGTGTAGAGGTGCCTTCTCTGCGCCAATAAGAGGGACGACGTGGGCGACCAGTCGAGCGAGAAGACTGGCGGCCGATAACTCTAAACGAGGTAAGGATACCTGCTTCAACGGAGCCACCTTGGTCTTCACAGCTAACAGCGTCACTCTGCTACTTCCGTTTGTTTTGGTTCGCAGGTAGAGGACGGCGGCGTAGGCACGTTCGGAGGCATCGACAAACCCGTGAATTTTCTGATGAGAGTCCGCTACGCTGCCTAACCAACGAGGCACCCCCAGGTTTTCCAATGCAGCTAGCTCGTCCTGGAACCGCAGCCATTTCCTTGCTTCCTCGGTTGGCAGAGATGCGTCCCAGTCAAGGCCCAGCAGCCAGGTAGTTTGAATGTTGATCTTGGCCAGCACGGTAGTTGGAGACAGCCAGCCGAGTGGATCAAACAATTTCGCCGTCAAGGAGAGGACCGATCTTTTAGTGACCGCCGAGAGGGTGATCTGATGAGTAGCGAAGGCGAAGCGATCGTCGCACGGTTGCCATCGAAGTCCGAGAGTGGAGTGACTCTCTCCGGGCAGCCACCATCTGGCCTCTTGTTGCAGGCGCGCGTCCGGTTCCACTAGGCTCAGCAGGTAGGAGGCGTTGGTGGATCATTTTTTGAGCGTGAACCCGCCCGCCGTGCATATACTCGTCAGCTGTCTTATCATGGTTTCTGCATCTTCTAGATTTTCGGCACCGGACAGGATGTCGTCCATATAGACATCGCCCCGCAGGATATCGGCGCCTTTCGGAAAGCGATGCTCCTCATCCTCGGCGAGTTGGCGTAAGGTGCGGATGGTCAGATACGGAGCACATGATAGCCCGTAAGTAACGGTGCACAACCAATACTCTTGGACGTCGGTTTTATAATTATCTCTCCATAGGATTCGTTGCAGGCTTCGGTCGTCTGGATGCACGAGGATCTGCCGATACATTTTTTCGATATCGGTCGCGAAGACGAAGCGATGGTGTCGCCAACGCAGCAGAATGTCAGCCAGTGATGGAAGCAGATTCGGTCCTGTGGCGAGATTTTTGTTGAGGAAGTCTCCGTTAGGCAAGGAGCTCGAGCCGTTGAAGACTATCCTCAATTTTGTGGAGGTGCTGTCTGGACGCAACACACCATGATGCGGCAGGTAGCAGGCACCTCGATGCGATTCAGCTGGTTCTGGCGCAGGCATCATATGGTTAAGGTCCTTGTAATTTTGCATAAACTCAACGTACATGCTTTGGAAGTCGCTCTCTTTCTCGAATCTTTTTTTCATATGATGCAGAGCACGACTTGCGGCGCGTCGAGTCCCCGACAGGTCAGGGATAGGCTCGATCGTTGGCAGCCGCACGATGTACCGGCCGTCTGGAGAGCGAGTATGATGTCGGCGGTAGTGTTCTTCGCACTCCAATTCGGCCTTGGTGAGGATCGGAGATGGCCGACGAACTTCCTCCTGCTCCCAGAACCGCCGCACCAAGCAGGTGATGTCCTCCTCGATTTGGCAATGGTGAGTGAAAACACGTTGGCTGGGCGCCGTCGAGTTAACGGTACCCGAAAGGATCCAGCCCAACGAGGTTTGTTGCGCTACAGGTTCCTGAGGACCTCCCTTTTGTAGGCCCTGGCGAATGATGGTTCCATATACGTCGGCTCCCAGCAGGATGTCGACGGGGTCCGAGGAGCTGAATTCCGGGTCGGCGAGCTCCAGGTCCTTCAGATGGGTCCAAGAGCTCATACGGCTGCGGCATCCTCCGGAGAACAATGTCAGTTTCGGCAGCACCAACGCGTCGACGAAGGTGGACGATTCACCGCTGCGCGACTGCAGGGTAAGTCTCACCTTCCCTTTTGATACTCCGGTCCTTCTTTCTCCGACTCCATAGACACTCACGGCGGCTGCTATTCGAGAGAGTCGTAGGCGCTGCGCTAATCGTTCCGAGATGAGGGATGATTCGGATCGCTGATCGATTAGGACGCGAGCGGACTGCCAAGATCCGTGGCAGTCGAGGACGCGGACCCTGGCCGTGGCGAGCAGCACCGTAGCGGAGAAAGAAGGTGTACCTTGGGCCACATGTGAAGTCGTGGAGGGCTTGGCTTCCCGGAAGGCGTCGTGAAGCGAGGAGTGATGTTGACTGCCACACGCTGTACACGTCTTCTTCGACGCGCACTCCGAAAATTGATGGCGTCCAAGGCAGTTCGAGCAGAGCTTGTGTTCACTGACGAGCTGTTTGCGAGCCATCGCCGTCTTGCCCTTGTAGTCGCCGCACGTTGTAGAACATCACAAAGTGGTCCCCCTGGCAGATGGAGCACCGGCCCCTGGGCTTCTCTTTCGGGTCTTGCTTTTTTACGTGGTGGCTCCGCGTTGACTTCGAAGTGCTGTGGCTGCCGCTATCGTTCCTGGCCGGAAACAGCGTCTCCAATGTATGAAGTCGGCGTTCTATGAAGGCCTCCAGCTCGGAGTAGGAGGGCGGATTCGTCGTGTGACTTATGTCACTCTCCCATTCTCGCCTGGAGCGATTGTCGAGGAGCTCGACGACTAGGTGGACGAAGAGGTCCTCCGTGCGGTCTATTGGTCGATCGATGCTTTTTAGTGAGCTGACCGTAGTTTTGACTCCGTGGAAAAGCCTCCTCAATTCAGCGGCGGATTCGCTCTTCATCTTGGTCAACGTCAAAAAATTGTTGAGATAATTACGCGTCAGTAATCTTTTGTTTTCGTAATAATCACTCAGCGTCTTCCAGGCGATGTCGTAGTTATCGTCTGTGGTGCTGAGGTTCCGAATAAACAGGTCAGCGTCACCTTTTACGCAAAGCTTTAAATAATGCAGCTTCTCCACAGGTTTTGCTGCCTGGTTCCGGCCGATGATCGATTGGAAAAGATCTCTGAACGAAGGCCAGTCCTCGTATTTTCCGGCGAAGGTCGGCGGCTGGATTTTCGGCAGCGCTGTCCGAGGAGCGGAAGTCGTTGTCGCGATCGAGGTAGAGCTGGCTGCCTGCAGTTGAATCTGGAGAGCGCTCTTCAAGTCGAGTATGAGGCCCTTGTTCTGCAAGTAAGCCTCTTTGCCCAACAAAGGGATGTCTTGTTTTGCGTAGACATCGTGGCGTATTTCGTCAACGCGATCGGCTAACGTATCGTTAATCGCGTCGAATTTCTCCCACAGCTTCTCGAGATTTTGAAGCCGGGCCTCCACCGCCCCGAGGGTGATATTGGTCTCGCCGAGCTTCCTAAGGTTCTCGTACGCGCGAGAGATCTTGCCGTATAACACTGTGGCGGTGGCAATGATTGCCTTAGTGTCTGCCATCTCTTACTCTGTCTCTTTTTTCCAGAAGCACTGGTCACAGACACTGATGCACTATCGCTTCCGTGGCACCGGATTCAAAGGAGGTTCCGGAGGATCCGGCTCGAAGGACCAAAATATGTGCACAACGGATAACGGGAAAGGAAGGTCGGAAGCGAGACGATAGAGAAGCACTGCACTCGACACACGCGTATCGTTAACACAAATATATTTAATACTAAAAACAAAAAAGATATAATTATTTAACTGCACAGATTTTACCAAAAGATAGCCGAGTTGTACGTAATAGAGATGATTGCAATAACCGATAGAAAAGCCGAGTCAAAATAAATTTCTGAATGTCCGCAAGCAACGGTAATTACACGAGAGAAACGAAAAAGACAAGCAATCTTTTTCTTTAAGTATAAGCACACTCTTGACGCGACAAGCAATCGGAAAAGAGCACCGCGATCACGAGAGAGGAGGTTTATATAGGCCCGTATTTCTAGAATAGTCGAGAACAATTCTCTTTATTTTATCGTTCGGCTGAGGGCGAAAGAGCGTTTAGTGTAATTATTTATTTTCAGGAAAATAGTCGTTTTGTTATTATCTGCCTAATTTTTGTCTCCTCTCGCGCGACCGCGGTGTTTACGTTTTATGTTAAAGGATTTAAGCGCTTATTTTCCGACGGCGCGGAGTATCCGTATACTCTCGCGGCCGAGCGCTATTTTTATTATAATCTAACATTATCTGTATGGTGCATGTTGCATACTAATACTGCATGAATCTGTATGCAATGGTTTAACTGTTTTTTCCATTTCAGCCTTTTTGACGTTCGATTTTCGAACATTCCGCCCGCCTGCTTTTTAGCTTTGCTGGTGTATTACTGCTTTTTCAGCGTTCTTGTTCAAAATCAATAATTATGCTAATTTACTTCTGTTTTTTTGAAATTAAAATGTTTTAAATAAAAGTATATTTTCTGCAACATTAATAAATTTAACGTATAAGACGGGCAACAAGAGCCAAATCGCGGATGACAATGCGTTATCCTAACGAAACTAAATAATTTTTCGTTAGAAATAAATACCGGTGCACAAGGCACCAAATTTTTACTTGGACACGGCCAAGATTTTAAATATGAAATAATCTCATATTTTGAGATTTAATTTCAATACCCCTTTTAACCTCCCTACGGAAAATAAATAAATGAATGCAAGAGAAAAATATAGATCCGAAAATCGCTGAATCGGGAATCGAACCCGAGACCTTTCGCTTGCCGGGCGACTGCTCTTCCAGCTGAGCTATTCAGATCCTTTCGATTCTATACTTTTCTCTGTTATATATATTAATGTTGGTAAACAAACGCATTTTTTAAGCCAGCGTGTATCAAATATAAGAGTTTTAACAAGGCTCTGTAATATAAATATAAATTTAACGTATAAGACGGGCAACAAGAGCCAAATCGCGGATGACAATGCGTTATCCTAACGAAACTAAATAATTTTTCGTTAGAAATAAATACCGGTGCACAAGGCACCAAATTTTTACTTGGACACGGCCAAGATTTTAAATATGAAATAATCTCATATTTTGAGATTTAATTTCAATACCCCTTTTAACCCCCCTACGGAAAATAAATAAATGAATGCAAGAGAAAAATATAGATCCGAAAATCGCTGAATCGGGAATCGAACCCGAGACCTTTCGCTTGCCGGGCGACTGCTCTTCCAGCTGAGCTATTCAGATCCTTTCGATTCTATACTTTTCTCTGTTATATATATTAATGTTGGTAAACAAACGCATTTTTTAAGCCAGCGTGTATCAAATATAAGAGTTTTAACAAGGCTCTGTAATATAAATATGTCATCCGCGATTTGGCTCTTGTTACCCGTCTTATACGTTAAATTTATATTTATATTACAGAGCCTTGTTAAAACTCTTATATTTGATACACGCTGACTTAAAAAATGCGTTTGTTTACCAACATTAATATATATAACAGAGAAAAGTATAGAATCGAAAGGATCTGAATAGCTCAGCTGGAAGAGCAGTCGCCCGGCAAGCGAAAGGTCTCGGGTTCGATTCCCGATTCAGCGATTTTCGGATCTATATTTTTCTCTTGCATTCATTTATTTATTTTCCGTAGGGGGGTTAAAAGGGGTATTGAAATTAAATCTCAAAATATGAGATTATTTCATATTTAAAATCTTGGCCGTGTCCAAGTAAAAATTTGGTGCCTTGTGCACCGGTATTTATTTCTAACGAAAAATTATTTAGTTTCGTTAGGATAACGCATTGTCATCCGCGATTTGGCTCTTGTTGCCCGTCTTATACGTTAAATTTATATTTATATTACAGAGCCTTGTTAAAACTCTTATATTTGATACACGCTGGCTTAAAAAATGCGTTTGTTTACCAACATTAATATATATAACAGAGAAAAGTATAGAATCGAAAGGATCTGAATAGCTCAGCTGGAAGAGCAGTCGCCCGGCAAGCGAAAGGTCTCGGGTTCGATTCCCGATTCAGCGATTTTCGGATCTATATTTTTCTCTTGCATTCATTTATTTATTTTCCGTAGGGGGGTTAAAAGGGGTATTGAAATTAAATCTCAAAATATGAGATTATTTCATATTTAAAATCTTGGCCGTGTCCAAGTAAAAATTTGGTGCCTTGTGCACCGGTATTTATTTCTTACGAAAAATTATTTAGTTTCGTTAGGATAACGCATTGTCATCCGCGATTTGGCTCTTGTTGCCCGTCTTATACGTTAAATTTATATTTATATTACAGAGCCTTGTTAAAACTCTTATATTTGATACACGCTGGCTTAAAAAATGCGTTTGTTTACCAACATTAATATATATAACAGAGAAAAGTATAGAATCGAAAGGATCTGAATAGCTCAGCTGGAAGAGCAGTCGCCCGGCAAGCGAAAGGTCTCGGGTTCGATTCCCGATTCAGCGATTTTCGGATCTATATTTTTCTCTTGCATTCATTTATTTATTTTCCGTAGGGGGGTTAAAAGGGGTATTGAAATTAAATCTCAAAATATGAGATTATTTCATATTTAAAATCTTGGCCGTGTCCAAGTAAAAATTTGGTGCCTTGTGCACCGGTATTTATTTCTAACGAAAAATTATTTAGTTTCGTTAGGATAACGCATTGTCATCCGCGATTTGGCTCTTGTTGCCCGTCTTATACGTTAAATTTATATTTATATTACAGAGCCTTGTTAAAACTCTTATATTAATAAATTTGTTCTTTTTTTGTATATTTTCCCTATTCATTTATTGTAGAAAATAACATATGCGTGTGTAAAGCTGTATTTCGTAAACTACATATGCGCGCATTCATCTATAATACATGTTACGTATCATATAATTCATGTATGATACACGTAAGGGCCTATCGTTTATGCGATTATGCAAGTTTGTTTGGATAGGCCCTAACATGTATTATAGATTACGCGCGCATATGTAGTTTACGGAACGGAGCCATAATAGAAAATCTGTAGTACCAGTGCCAGGCCACTAGGATCGCGTCGTTCGCATGTTTCCATCGTTTAACACGGAGCTTGCGCTTCTCTTTATATATGTTCTTTGGGCTACATGAAGTTAATTTATATTTAAACCAATCATGTTCACTTTCATCTGTACATATTTTAAAAGGTATAAAGGTACAATAAGGTCAAAAATTCGAGCGCAAAAGTATCGCCAAATAAACAAATTTAAACAAAATTTACATTTAGATGAATTTACAGAAGAGGAAGAAAAATATGATACATATAATGAAGCAAATTATAATGATGCAGCATCAGAAGGTATTAATCATGTAAATGTCGAAACAAATGTATATATATATAGCAGTGAGAAAGTATTTTATTATTTCGAATATAGATCATATGGAAAATACAAACGTAGGAGCAGTAGAAGATTTGAATGATTCTAATACAAGTAATTCGGAAACTCACACTGTACATGAAGAAATTGATAATAATGATAGCGATCAATCATTATCATCATTATCAATTTCTGATCAGAGTGACGAGTATAATAATGATAATACAAGTGATGAAGAAATCGATGAAATATGCAAACTACGATCGTGGGCTATTGAATGCAGGATTCCATTCGTACATATGGATAAATTGCTCAAAATCCTTCAACCAAGACTTTTGCCTACATTACCAAGATCATCGACAACGTTTTTTAAAAGCAATACTTCATATTATGAAATACAAAAAATGGAAGACTACGATAACATTACAAATGGAGAATATTCGTATTTTGGTATCAAACAAGGATTGCAATTTTGCATCAATTCGGAAATCCATTCTAACAATAGTACTATGGAATTACAAGTTAATATTGATGGAATGAAATTATTTAAATCGAGTACAAAATCTATGTGGCCTATTCTAATTAAAATACATTTCAAGCCGGATATTTATAAGCCTTTCGTAGCTGCTGCTTATGTGGGAAATAGCAAACCAAAATCAGTCAATTTGTTTTTGAAGGATTTCATTGCTGAGGTCAATATCCTGCAAAATAGAGGCATAGTTATTAATAACAAATATTATAATATAAATATAAAGTGTTTTATCTGTGACACCGGTCACAACGCAAAATATGGTTGCGAACGATGTCTGGTAGAACGTCATACTCATCATAAAATTGCCACATATTTAGATATTAATTCTTCTAAAAGAACCGATGAAAGTTTCCGAAATTTTTCACATGTAGAACATCCATACAGCAGCATCACCTTTAATATACATACAGCCGTCAGTGAACATGGTCAATGATTTTCTTCTCGACTCGATGCATTTGTGTTATCTAGGAGTCATGAAACGTTTAATTGATGCTTGGATGATATCTGATTTTAATACGCATCTTAGTAGCAGTCAGAAGAGAATATTATCAAGCCGAATGGAGAAAATAAGATTTCAACAGCCCGACGAATTCCATCGAAAGATTAGAGGTATTGAGCACCATGATAGATTTAAAGCCACGGATTATCGTTTCATCTTGTTATTCTGCGGACCTATTATATTAAAAGACATTTTAGATAATGACAAATATAAACATTTTTTATTACTTCATGTAGCTTGTCGAATGTTATCGATGGAAAATGCGGTTGAATATACAAATTATATAGAAGAATTACTTACCAAGTTTATTGTTCTAGCAGAAAAAACTTTATGGTCCACAATTTGTAGTCTTAAATGTTCATAACTTAATGCATATTTCAGATGATGTAAGAAATATGCAGTGCGGGTTGAGTTCGATAAGCGCGTTTCCATTTGAAACTTATTTAGGGCAATTAAAAACTATTATAAGATCACCTCATAATATTATGGCGCAACTGGCTCGAAGGCTACATGAAGTTAATTCATATTTAAACCAATCATGTTCACTTCCATCTGTACATATTTTAAAAGGTATACAATATTTTTAAATATGATTTGAAATGTTATTCAATATAAAGACGTAAAAATTTATAAAAAAAAAATAGTTACGGGACCAAAAAGAAAAGGTACAGAGGAAGGGATAACAAGCAAAACACTAAAGATATTATAAGAGTTTTAACAAGGCTCTGTAATATAAATATAAATTTAACGTATAAGACGGGCAACAAGAGCCAAATCGCGGATGACAATGCGTTATCCTAACGAAACTAAATAATTTTTCGTTAGAATTAAAATACCGGTGCACAAGGCACCAAATTTTAACTTGGACACGGCCAAGATTTTAAATATGAAATAATCTCATATTTTGAGATTTAATTTCAATACCCCTTTAACCCCCCTACGGAAAATAAATGAATGCAAGAGAAAAATATAGATCCGAAAATCGCTGAATCGGGAATGAAGTTAATTCATATTTAAACCAATCATGTTCACTTCCATCTGTACATATTTTAAAAGGCATTCCCGATTCAGCGATTTTCGGATCTATATTTTTCTCTTGCATTCATTTATTTTCCGTAGGGGGGTTAAAGGGGTATTGAAATTAAATCTCAAAATATGAGATTATTTCATATTTAAAATCTTGGCCGTGTCCAAGTTAAAATTTGGTGCCTTGTGCACCGGTATTTTAATTCTAACGAAAAATTATTTAGTTTCGTTAGGATAACGCATTGTCATCCGCGATTTGGCTCTTGTTGCCCGTCTTATACGTTAAACTAAAGATATTATTCCTGGTAATAAAAGAAGAGCTTAGAGTTGTAATAAATAAATACCTCAAGTTAGGATACTGTCCGAATAGCTGAAAAACGTCTATGATTATACCTATACCAAAAATGAATAAGCCAAAAAAGGCAGTGAATATAGGTCAATCAATATTTTGCCAACAATAGAAAAAGTTTTAGAGTTAGTGGTAAAGAAGCAAATTGAAGCTTATGTGGAGGCGAATAATTTCATAACAGAGCACCAATCAAGATTCAGAAAACATCACTCATGTGAGGCAGCAATACAAATTATTATGGATGAATGGAATATCTTAATTAGTGAAGGTAGAATTGTAGGGGTAATATTTGTGGATCTCAAACAAGCGTTTGAGACTAGAGACAGAGACAGATTGCTAACTAGATTGGAAACTAAAGAATATAAAATATTGTATATAAAAATGTTTAAGAAAAATAGATCAATTTACGAGGATGTAGTAAGTAAAGTCTTAAATGGAGGTTCAATAAATAACGTTGCAAAAATTTTTGGCATCGATTATAGTACCCTATCGGAAAAAACAAAGAAGGCCCGTTCTGTTAAGCTTCGTAGACAGAGACAGATTGCTAAAGAAAATGAATCAGTATGGTCTAAAAAATATAGTGTGGAATGGTTTAAATCATACTTGAAGAATAGAACGCAACATGTCTGTTTCAATGGTGAATGGTCTGACATGATCGTAACAGAGTATGGTGTACCGCAGAAATCGATACTGGATTCATTGCTATTCAATATATATATATATATATATATACAGGGTTTGTCCGGAAAGTAATGCGTCGCATTTTTTTGTGACGCGACTATACATCGCAGAGCGATGGGACCGGTTGGGGAGGAAGGGGGGTACCCTTAGCTTTCCAACGGTAGGTCGCTCAATTGTTTCCATGCGCTTGGAGGGTTAGGACGGCTTATTCTGTGAACCTCTGCTTAGTGGTCGCGTCGAACTTGTGATGGAGAGAACGATAGAGCAACGCTATGCGATAAAGTTTTGCGTGAAGCTGGACAAGACCCGGATCGGTGTGGCAACGGTGCCGCAGCCGCCCTACAGTCCCGACTTGGCCCCGGCGGACTTTTTTTTATTTCCTCGGCTGAAAAGGGAGCTCAAAGGACAACAGCTCGAGTCGGTTGACAACGTACAAGCTACTTCGACGGCCTCCCTGAACAGCATCCCAGTCAAGGAGTTCCAGAAATCTTATGACGCATGGAAATCGCGTTGGCAAAAATGTATTGACGCAGAAGGGTCATACTTCGAACAATTTTAAGTTGTTTTACCTATGCGATCAATAAATTCTTTTTTAAAAAAATGCGACGCATTACTTTCCGGACAAACCCTGTATATATATATATATATATATTAACGATATTGTAAATGTGGGTGGAGATGAATGCAGTATTAAAATGTATGCGGACGACATTTTAATATATGTAGATAAAACGAGCAGCAAAAAATTAGAGAGAAAATTGAATGAAGCGTTTGCAATCGTCGAAAAATGGATGAATGTTAAGAAAAATTAAAAATGAATGCGGAAAAAACAATATTTATGATAGTTAGAAATGTAAGAAAAGAACTAAAGGGAAATATTAAATTAAGATGCATAAATGGAATAAAAATTGAACAAGTAAAAAAAAATGAAGTATTTAAAAATAATTATAGATAATAGATAATAAATTAGGATTTAAGGAACATGGTGATTTCTTAGTTAAAAAGAAAGGTAAAAAAGTAAGTTTTTAAAATAAAATAGATTACTCGATGTCAATATATAGTAGATGTATAAGACAGATATTGCTCCACATTCGAATACTGTTCAACTTTAATAATAGCTATGGGCAACGCAAATGAAACGCTTACAAATACTACAAAATAGAGCGATGGGAATTATTTTGCAATGTAGCAGAAATACTCCCGTAGGATATACTGCAAGCACTAAGGTTTATGTCTATTAAGGAAAGGGTTCATTTTAATGTCTGTAAATTTATTTTTAAAATTATTAATAATATTATGCCTAATCAGATGCAAAGTAGGCTGACAATAGTGGGTGAAGACAGTATAAGAGAGACGAGACAAGCTGCAAACATAGCGATACAATTTCGTAAAACAAGAAGCGCGCAGAGAAGTGTCTTCTACGATGGAATAAATTTATATAACAAATTTTGCTTGAAGAAATAAAACAATGTGTGAGAATTAAACAATTTAATAGGTTATTAAAAGAATTCATCATAAGGTACACGATTAGATAGTGAGATATCTTTGTTGAAAGACTGTAGAAAAACTATATATAGTGATATTGCGATAAGGTGATAATAAACGAAAATGACTATTTTATTTTATTATACATAGTATGTATATGTGTATTACAAATAGCAAAGCTAATAAAGATCAAATCAATCTCCTCTCCCTCTCTCTCTCTCTCTCTCTCTCTCACTCTTTCTTGTTCTATTTTCTTTCATAATTAATTATATTTATATTATCATCTCTTTTTAGCAATATACATAAAATTAATTATACATATGTAGCTGTGTTATAATTTATAATAATATTTATATATTTAATTAAAGATTAAAATTTATTCTGCATGAAACTTTCATTATTGCTTACCTATCTTAGAGTATTTAATTATGAGCAATTATAGCAGTAATATAATTTTTTTTCAATGTGATACAATCGATATAAGCAATTAAAATAGCATTAAGTTAGAAAGTTTAATTAAATATACCCTAGTAGCACAACACAATGGTCATACATTGACCAAATAAATATTAGCAAAATTGGGAATTTCTTGGTCCAATATTTCCCAATGCAAAGGTAATATTGGTTATTAATAACATGCTATATACTGCCAATACTGCTGTGCCCATGATGACTCCAAAATTGGTTATGAAATAAATGTACATGTGTTGCCAATATTGCTGTGTCCATGATGACTCTAAAATTGGTTATGAAATAAATGTACATGTATTGCCAATATTGCTGTGTCCATGATGACTCCAACATTGATAATGAAATAAATGTACATGCATTGCCAATATTGCTGTGTCCATGATGACTTCAATATTGGTAATAAACTATGTTGCCAATATTGCAATGCAATATTTGTAATCGTTAGTTTCTTAATTTACTGCTATGTGACGCGTAACAAGATATCTATTTCGTATTCAAGTTTAATCATGGGAATTATATAAAGCGTTAGCTAAAGTGGCTATATTATTCATTAATCTGCGTCTATTCTTTAGGAGTAAATTTTGGAACACGGTCTTTATAGTTATTGAACTGGTTACACCAGTTCTGAATTATCTTTTTTTATTAGTCTAAATTTAGAATACAATATTGTTTTAATATAAGAAATTAATATATAGGCAACAAAAAATTGCACGTTTACTGCTTGCTATATAATATCGTTTAAAAATAAAATTAATTTATTGATCCAATATTAGTATACAATATTAGCTAAAAAAGAAAGAGCGTACACTTTACAATATTGGACCAATATAGAAAATTAGTTCAAATCCAATATTAAAAATTGGATATTTATTATTTGTCAATATTGTTTAAAAATGAAAATAATTTATTGGTCCAATATTAG